GGAGCCGCGTTGACGGGAAGAGATTGATGATTGATCAAGTCACCAATTTACTCTGATGCTTGTGTTCAGAGGTCTTCGATTTAGGTGGAAGTTGTTAAACTATTTATAGACAGAGGTAACTAACGGAGGCGTCCAATGATGGACTGCTATGTGGAATCTTTAATTATCTGGCAAGCAGCAGTTCTTTGTGCTCTCAGGTTGCTATCAGGTTACAAGGTAGTGGGTCAGGTTTTCTGTCTGATACGTGAGAGGGGTCTGAGCTTGCTTCTTGACCAATTGCAGGGATTTATGACAGGGCTATCCCCTTTTACTCTGACCAATCATAAATCACGCCTAAGTTTCGTTTCTTGGTTGTGATGTGGGCATAAATGTAAGTTTCTTGCTTGGATTTTGTTTTTTTTTCCAGGAACTTCCGGACAGAGATTTCTTTAACCCTTAATTGACTGCTTGTTAGTGACATGGGCACTGATTAATTTGGTTGTGACACCATTCCCTACATTTTCTCATAGCATGTTTCTTCCCCTGGCTGTTTAAAGATAGGAAAATGCAGCAAAAGCAAGTGTTTGCTTCCTGTAGGAGATGGCATTGCAGAATGCACTTGCCCACTGATGAAAAACATCTTTCCCATGCTGTGTGTGTGTTTAATGATAGCTTCTATCCAGTTGTCTTGGAAGGACTGGAAGATACCGAGTATATTTCAGAGCAGTTTTTCCCTCCACTATTGTATTTCTGTTCTCATGGCTTAAAACTGCACTGTCTTTTAGTTCCAAGAGACAAGGACATTTTGTGCTATCGTTTGGACCAACTGTATAGTGGAGAGAGCTGTTCAGTTGGGAGACTTAAGGAAGGGCACATAGGGTAGTTTTACACATGCTCTGACACATTCTGATTAGAAAAGTGTCATTGCAGATTCAATCTTGAGTAATCGAGTCTGCTGGAGCGTTTTAATCAGAATGCTCCAGTTTGCTGCAGCATCTTGCATATTAAGCTTATCATTCAACATGCTTTAGTTAAAGTGCCCCTGCCACCATTTTGAAATGCAGGGACACTGAATGCACAAAACACTATGGGCATTTTAGTTAGAGCGGCTCCCAAGAGCTGCTTTAAAACGCTGCCTCTACCCTAACCCTGGAGCACGTGTACAGATGCCCTCACGCTTGAAAGCTTGTGCAGCAGCTTTCCCAACTATATAGTTGGTCCAATAAAAGATCACTAAAATTCCTTGCCCCTCGTACATTTCCTGGACCATCATAGCAACACTACCATTCCAGCCCTATTCTGTCTTTAAGTTAAATCCCGTAGGATAGGTTGAGCTCCAGAGGAGACATGGTAATTTTTTTTTTAATTTATTTTGCTATCATCTTTTGATTTTTAAAGTGACACTATCAACTTTGAATTTTATTATACTGCTACTGTTACTAATTTTACCAGGGGCCTGAAATGATCTGACTCATTCTACAAGGCATGGTGTCACTGATTGTATGCAGAGTGCTGGGAAGTAAAACCATTGACATTTTTCTCAGTTTCTTTCAGTTGTGTCTGAATGGAAAACATTTGATTGGGAGTGTGATTTATTTTTCTTTTAAACTAGTAGTGTCAGTTTTTTGAAGACTTACTGGTTTGCATGCAGCAGACTACAGAGACTCTCAGAGTTTGGTTCTTAGCAAAAAGTGTAGAGTTTTCTATACATAACTCTTTGGAAAAAGAGACTATCTGTGTCTTTGTATGTTGTCTTCCAAAGTGGAGGCCTGGACTACAATATTTATAATAATCTTTGACTGTAACCATCTTTATCCCTTTCCGGTGTCTAAAACAATGTTTTTATATCACTATTTAGTCAATTAAAAAAAACAAACAAAACCTTCCCCACAGTAGAATTGCAGCAGTTGGTGCTCCCTTGCCCTACCCTTCCTTTCTCTAGAGAGGCTGGTTTTGATTTCTTTGTCTTCACATGCTTCCTTTTTTTCAGGTTCCAATCATGGCAGCTTACACTTGCATCACTTGTCGTGTGGCTTTCAAGGATGCTGATATTCAACGTGCTCATTACAAAACTGACTGGCACAGGTATAACCTGAAGCGGAAGGTTGCTGACATGCCTCCCATCACTGCCGAGAACTTCCAAGAGCGCGTCCTAGCTCAGAGGGCGGTGGCAGAGGAGCAGAGCAAAATCACTGCCACGTACTGTACAGCCTGCAGCAAGCGGTTCTCCACTTTCAATGCTTATGAGAATCACCTGAAGTCCAAGAAGCACCTGGAGCTTGAGAAGAAAGCTGTTGAGGCCATCAGCAAGAAGGTGGAAACCTTAAATGAGAAAAACCTGGAGAAGGGGCTGGTCCCTGAAAACCTAAACAAAGATGCCATGAATGCAGCCATTCAGCAAGCCATCAGGCCCCAGCCATCTTCCTCGCCAAAGAAGATACCCTTTCTTCCCAGTGACACAAGCAGCTCTCCAGCTCCTGCTGGAGGTCCCAGTCTCTCTCAGAGCAGAGAGCGACTGGAAAAGCCTCCTCGGATCCAGTGGTTTGAACAACAGGCAAAAAAGTTGGCGAAACAGCAAGTAGAACAGGAGGAAGAAGATGAAGATATGGAGGAAGGCAAGAACCAGCAAGCAGGTAGAAGGTGGCTTGGGCTATAGCAAGTGTTGGTTGGTTTTTTGGGTAAAAGTGTCTCATTTTTGTTTTGTTTTAAAAAACGTCTCCAAGGCATAAAAAGGCTCTTTTACCACTTCATGTTTAAACTTTGTAGTCTTAAAAAAATGCAGATTTCTGTAGCAGGGCAGAGCAAAATATAATGTTCTTTACTAAATGTTTGGTCTTCATAATCCTGGACCTCAGTGAGTGGTGGGAATAAGGGGATGCTAAATTTTGCGGGCAGTTAATTTGCTGGATAAACTATTATTAACATGCAGTTGCCAATGGGAGTTTTCAGAAGAAAGCCTACACTGAGGAAGATAGCACAAAAATGTTCTGGCCATGAAAATGGAAAAAAACAGTCAGCATTTAGTGGCCAACATCTCATCCATCATTTTATTTTCCTATTTCAGAGTGAATAGGGAAGTTTTGCAGTTGCTAAGGAATAGAGGTCACTTTTTCCTTTCTCTGTCTGTTGCTGCCTTTTGATGCATAGGAGCAGTCCATGAAGCTTACTCTGTTAGAGCAGTTGTATGCTAGTGTGATTTCATTGACAGCTTGAGGAATCGGGCCCCATCTGTTTTAACGGCTAGGCCACTTGTCAGCCTGTTGTAGGGGTAATGCACATTTCTGAATTTGGATCTTGGAAGGGATGTAAAGCAAGAGCCAACTTGTAACTTTCCTGTATTAATGTATTATTACTAAAAAGTGGCACTGAATCTCAGTAAGTTATTTAATCTTTTCGCATCAAATGCTTAATGTTTTCTATTGGTGCTGTTTATTCACCAAATCACATTCTGAAAGTATTTTCAGTTCCAGGTTTTTTAAGCGAGAATTACACTTAAAATACATAGTTCCATCTGGGCAGGCAGTTTTTTCTGCCCAGCTGGATCAGGCCTCAGCGTGATCCAGCTGTGTGGGAGCAGAGCCCAGTCCCTCTGTGTGGGGCTGTCCCAGCCAGGGCTGATATATAGTGCATTGACTTGGAAAAATATGATGTAACCTGGTGTTTTCTGCATTAGAAGGCTGGGAGGATGTGTATTCAGATGAAGACTTAGAGGCTGAAGGTGCTGAGATGGAAGATGAGGAAGAAGATGAGCAGATTGACACTGAAGGAACACCAGCCATGGGTGCAATACCAGCCATGGACTGCTTGTTTTGTCTTCACCATTCAAGCTCTCTCATGAAAAACGTGGCCCACATGACAAAAGTCCACAGTTTCTTTATTCCAGATATAGAATACCTCATGGATCTCAAGGGGCTGATTAAGTACTTGGGTAAGTCTTTGAACCAGGATAAACATCCTGTATTCTTTCAGTAAATATCTCTGAGAGTTGAGGCACAACTGCAGTGTCGTATGACAGTGGAACCCAGCCTTTTTGCACTGTGGGTCAGATGACTGGTCCTACCTCTTCTTGTGGGCCAGACCCTGTCTGTGGGCCTGATCCGGTACATGGTACTGGCCCAGCCTGAGCCTGATTTCATGTGGTTGGATTGGGCTCTGGCTGGGCCATTTCTGCCTAGCTGGATCAGGCCTCAGCTTGATCCAGCTGTGTGGGAGCAGAGCCCAGTCCCTCTGTGTGGGGCTGTCCCAGCCAGGGCTGATTTAGCCCTGTGGGGATTACTAATTTGGTGGTGGGGAGCAGTGGCAATATTAATTGCCAGCACTCTTCTGCCTCCAAATTTCTGGACCTGTGGGGGGACCTGCAAGCTGGATCTGGCCCATGAGCCGGAGATTGATCATCCCTGTCATATGGCATTGCTCATTTTCATGCAAATGCATGGCTTAATTCTAGTGGATATGGTATGGCTGTTTTTATATCAGACCCAGTTCAATTTTCGTTCTGTAACAGTGACCAGTACAGATGCCTCTGGGGGAGATGTGAGCAGCGTTTCCTCTAAGCTGTGCTCATGCCATGTTGCCAGGTGCGCCTGTGCAGCTGTGCACACCACACACCTTAGAGGGAACACTGGATGTGAGGTCCCCCTCCACAGTAAGCAGGTGTGGAATAATTGTGCTCTCATGTTAGTTTGTGGCCAGATTTCTAACAGTGAGCAGATTCCTGCATCAGTTTTGCAGTGCCTGAATCAACCAGTTGCTAAAATATTTACACTGAAAGTGCTCAGTCCTCAGATTTGCTCCTCCAGTAGTAAATGATGACATGGACATTTTCCAAACCACATCAGTTAAGCCAAGGTGGGAAAGCATAGTAGATGGAGTGATTACTCTGACCAAACTAGAATACTGTTAACCTCTGCTCTCTACAGCCACAAGGAGCAGCTATTGAGATGGACTTCTGGCACAGAAAGTGACTGTTTTGGATAAGCAAGTAAATGACCATAATTAAAGCATTTTATAGCATTTAATAGAAAACTGGGTGTTGCACTGGAAGGCTTTGCTTAGCATATTTTTGCTCTGTCATCTGAAATCTTCTTTAAACATACAGGCTTCTTCCTAGAGGAAGCCTTGTGGTTAGAGAACAGGGAAATCAGAGCTGTAATCTAATTCCTGGCAGTGATAGTTTTAACTTGGAGTAAGTCACTCATGCCTGCAGATCAACAACTACAGTTGATTAGCAGAGAGATTGTAAACTTCAAGCATTCTCTTTTTCCAGGAGAGAAAGTTGGCATTGGGAAGATCTGCCTGTGGTGTAATGAGAAGGGTAAATCCTTCTACTCGACAGAAGCTGTGCAGGCTCACATGAATGACAAAAGCCACTGTAAGCTCTTCATAGATGGGGATGCAGCCTTGGAATTTGCAGACTTCTATGATTTCAGGTAAGGAAGTTCTTTCTCCACCTTGCATGGACAGAAATGGAGAGAGAACTCATTCAAACTTAGAACCAGTTGCATCTACTACCAATCTTTTTAGCCACAAGGCCTCTTTCTGATATTTATTCTTGGGATACTAGTTAAAAAATATACTTGCTGGTCAGGAAACTTTCTTCGAATCAAAGTTACAATTGATTTCTAAAAACCTGTAAGCTTTTTCTTACTGTTCTTAATCTGTTAACACAATCTTTCCAAGTAAGCAGGTGCATTGCTACCATCAGTATTAACAATTAAAATGCTATCTTGTACGTCCAGTTGCTGATTTCAGTACAATACAATTAATTCCCTAGTGCTTTGTCCTGTTCAGTTTTCTGTACATCAGCAAAGGCCTTGAGGTTATAAAGAAATACAAAGGCCAAAGTGCATATCTTATATCATGGGGCTGCTGCCACATTAATAATGGTGGTAGAGTCCCCTACTGTAGATGCATCATATGTCAGCAGAAGATGAAGGGCAGGGGGCTGGTTGCTGCCAAAATGTTTCCAGTTTTCCAAACAACAGAAGCCTTCTTCAGCTGACTGCAGTTGCATATGCATGCAGTCGGTATGCTGGTTACCTTACACCAGAGCTTTCCAAACTTTTCATGTTGGTGACACACTTTTTAGACATGCATCATTTCGCGACACACTAATTCAGTTCTGGGGGAGGGGCCAAGGGAAGCAGACGCGAGTAAGGGAGCTCCGCGGTGCCCTTCCGCAAAATTTTCTGCATTTCGCGCGACACACCTACACACTGCCGCCGACACACTAATGTGTCGCGGCACACAGTTTGGAAAGCTCTGCCTTACGCTGTTGGATAGTTATTAGTGCTTTCTGAGACACGCTTACCCTAGAATAGAATGAATTAAATTGGGGTAGAGCTCTACATAGTGTCTGCTCCATACTTCCTGCAGAGTAAAGTCAAATTACTTGAAAGTAAAGGTAAGTTACAACAGTGTATCTGTTGTTTGTCTGCAGCTGTCATTAGCTGTAGCCATTTCTTCAATATGAACAGGCTCCCTGACACCAAAGGGTAAGGTGCCGTAACAGTGCCTACTGCCAACATGTATCTCCAGAGAGTTGTTTGTGTCCATGCCAGGCACTGGTATAATTTTATTCAAGAGCAGAACCTGAGCTAAATTATCCCCAGGAAAAGGTATTGTGTGTTTGCACTTGAAGCTTTTGTGTAGCTTTAATGTTTACTCCATTTTCTGTCCGTATCGTCTTAGAACAGTGGTGCTCAACCTTTTGGCCTTGCAGACCATGTAAGTGGGGCAAGGCTGGTCTGTAGGCCAGATCGAGCTTCATGTGCCAGGTTCAGGCTCTGGGACATGACAGCACCCCTTCCCTGCTTCCCCCTCAGGGAGCAGCCCTGGAGTTTAGCACTACCTTCTCTCACCCCTGTGTGCCAGGATTGATTCATGGGGGCCTGGCAGTACCCTCTCCCAGCCCAGTGCACAGATATAGTGTCCTGGCGGCCTGGCACTGTCCCCACTCACCCCTGCAGGCTGGGATTGTGTCCCAGGGGCCTGGTGCTGCCCCCCTCCCACAAGGATTGATCCCTGGGGGCCTGGCCTCACCCTTTCCCACTTCAGCACACTGGAATTGGGTCCCAGGGGCCCAGAACTATCCCTGCCCAGCCCTGCTTTCTGGAATTGGGCATCAGATACAGGGTGCAGGGCTCCCTGTGCACCTGGACATTTGGCAGAGGGGTAGTGGTGACACCACTGTCCCACCTCAAATTTACAGACCTGTAGGGAGCTCCACAGGCTGCGAGTTGAGCACCCCTGTCTTGGAAGAAGGAAGGGAGGAGCTGTTCTTGACTAAATGTCTATTTTGGGTTCTTAAACTTAGCAGGAGCTGATGTGAAGAGCTTTGGTCTAACATGTATGTATGTATGTCTGTATTTTCAAGCACAGGTGAAGGGAAGAGCTTTTGTTCAGCTATATTAATTTTGATCTTGAAAATGTCTGTCATGGTAGCAGTTGCTTTCCAAGCACTAGCTCGGAATTGCTGCAGACCCACCTGTTTGCTCTATGCTGCCTTTTCCTTAGCACCCATTTTGCAGCTTCATACTTTGTGCCACTGAATGGGGAGGAGGAAAGGCAATCTGTGATTACTGCCGATATTGAAACATGGGTATTGTGGTGAATCCCCTTCTTTAGATGGAGCCTGGCAGCTTTCTTGGTATTTGCAGATTTACAGCACGCCTGTTTTATGCAAAATGGTTCTAAAATGGGCTTTACCTGGTGATCACATGTCATATAGCTGCTGTTGCTGTTGTTTCACAGGACCAGTTACCCTGAATACAAGGAAGGGGAGGATGTGGAAATGTCTAAAGATCTCTCATCAGAGAAAAATTTAGAATACGACGATGACACGATGGAGCTGATTCTCCCTTCAGGTAGGCACAATAAAAATCCTCCATCAAAGATACCTTGTCACTCTGGAAGTGCTGTATTTGCAGTTATTGCAAGCAGGGACATGCTGTCAGGTAGATTCCATTTGCTGATGTGAAACAAATGGTTTTGCATCCAGTTGTCACTGGATTTTGTTATTTCTGTTTTCAAACTGAAGAATTGTTTTCTTTGTTTGAGTTTAGGTTATGCTTATTGGCTATCTGAAACTGCAATACAGAAGACTTCTTTTCCTGAGTTTGGTTGCCTCTGGCATTGTCTTTGGCTTCATTTTGTTGGGATTTTATGTTAACTTGACTCATTTTCCACTCATTTAAACTTTGACTCATTTACACCCAAGGAGCCTGTATATTTCAGTACAGTCCTTCTTGGAGAAGGTGTGAGTTTGCTAGGGTTTTTTCCCCAAAATAGTTTGGCATTATATGGCCTGGTCACATCAGTTTGACATGCATTAGCAATGACTTATTCAGATATTGATTTCCTTCTACATCGATAAGATATGCTGCACATTACATGCTATGCCATAAGCATGGTACTCTGCAATGGTGCTTGGATATACTCTATATATGTTTTAGTTCAGCCTTTTCTGGTACCCTGGGAAATACTGTTGTACTGTCTTTGAAGGGGGAGAAGATCACTTTTCCTGTCAGTCTTAGAGTTCTTAATCTGTCACTTGAAATGGGTAAGTTGTGGCACTCCCCATATGAGGGGGTGGTCTTCTTTAAAGATTATCTGTAGTGGGGGACACTGCCTTTGTGTACCCATTTGCTTTTTCATCTTTTATTCTATTTATAATGAATAAAGTGGGTGTGTAGCGGGGGCGGGGCAATTTGTGGCTTGGGTGCCACAAGGGGGTACAGGTCACTTCTGTATATGACACATGGCAGACTGTAGAGAGGACAGGCAGCACAGTGGCAGAGTAGGGAGCCGAAAGAGCAGCAGATTGCAGCAGGGGAACAGGATCAGTGTGGTATGTGAGGAGGGCATGAGGCTAATTTGTGGTATGCCTGCCAAAAAGATTGGCCCCTACTCATGTGTAGTGTGACTTTAATAGCCAGGATGGCTGGTTGGTTGGGATTTTTAACCCCAGAAAGGTAACAGCTCTTGGATTTTGTGTTCTTTTTTGTGGTGGACTCTGTAGGATCAGAGAACTAAAGTGGGATCTTTCTCAGCACTTAGTTAGAGGCCTGCATAACAACATGGAGAGAAGAGTTTTTTCCTTTGAAGTGGTTGAGTTAAAGCAGGGATGGGCAAAATATGGCCTGCAAGGCCATTCTATCTGGCCCATGAGGCCATTTTATCCGGCCCGCAGGGCCCCTAAAAAATTTAGAAAATTAATATTTATCTGCCCTTGGTCGTCTGGGGGTGCCTCACATCTGGCTGAACCCCTTCCTGGAGCACACGCGCTAGCCTGGGGTAAAAACTGTCACCACCCAGGGCTGGGCTTGATTCTGGCTCTGAAACCCCCTGCGTAACACAGACATAGTAGCCCTCAAGGGTACTTGACTCACTTCAAGTACTTGGGGATGCTTCCCTCCGTTGGAAGCACAAGTAGTGGTCTCCCTGAGTCAGCCAAACCAAGGGGACCCCAAGGCGTAATCTAGACCCACACCCAATAAGTCTCCCACGCTAGGTACAAAGGAGAACTTTATTGGTTACAAGCTGGGTAGGGTTGGAATAGGGTACAGGGTAGAGCAATATCAGAGAAATCCCATAGAACAAACTGGCATGGCTGGGTAGCCTTTGATCACCCATCTGAGTTACTGCAAGCTATATATCTAGTTAAATCTCAGGTAGCTTACAAGTATCATCCAGAGGCAGATGGAGATTTCCTCTGGAGGCAGGCAGTTCCTTGATCACGAGTTTTGAGAGAGAGCGCAAATTTCAGATGCTCCAGCTCTCCTCTCTCTCTCTCTGAGTATTTCTCATGGCTGCTGCCCCCTCCTTCTGGACAGTCCTTAACTTATATAGCTCCTATGACCTCATTTACCTGGTCCAATGGAGGCCAGCACATGTGGGCTGTCAGCCAACCAATTTGAAATGCATCACTAGTTGCTGGGCAGACTGGCAGTTCCTAGCTCCCCAGGGAGCCCAAGCCCCTCACCTAGCTTTGTGACGGAGCCCAAGCCCTGCACCCAGGTATGGGATGCCAGTCACATATGCAGAGGGAGCAGGTTCCCCCCTCCCCCCCCGGAATGTATCCAGCTCAGGTTACCTAAAGAGATAGGGTAAGGTGTGTACCCTCTGCAGGACCCATCTTAACCAAATTGTCACAGAGCAGAGTTTTTGGGGAGAAACAGAGTTGGCCTTTTGCCACAATCATCTTTGTCATCCCATCTGATCGATCGTATTTTTAAGGGAGATCTCAAAGGCTTAAGAGACGAAACCAATACAGAACTTCATGAGCCCCTATTGCTTATGGTAAAGTAGCAAAAAAGAGAAAAAAAGTACCCCGGTATTTTTAGTAGTGTTGTTCACCTTTTAGGTTTATGATGAGAAATTTGGGAAATAAGGTACCTGGAACGGCAAGCTACATTTCTCAATAAATGACGACAGCAAGTAAGGTGCTGCTGGTTAAGCTGTCCAAGGATCCATGATAGGAAACCATTAGGGGGCGGTGTGGGACTGGAAATGTTTTTTTTTGTTTGTTTTAATTCTAAAACATGTAGCCATAGGAAGGCAGACATCTCTGCAGAGGTTCTGTCTCTGTTTGTTGCATGGGAGTGTGATAAGGACTTCAGATAAACGTGTTTTTTATGGCATCAGCATATGGATCCAGAGTCTTAGGGAGTAGAGCTCAAGAGTTCATTTCTCCAGGCATCTATGTCCCAGCACTGAAGGCTTCATTTCTGGCACTGCCGAAGTAGATTTGGCTGGTGTGAAACACAGGTCACCTAGCATATGTGTTAACCTGCTACTTTAACAGCAGGAGTCTTTTTAAATTTATCTGATTGTGAGGCTTGTAGATAATTGCGCAAAGTGCAAGGACAGATTAACAGGGCATGGAAAAGAGCGCATTTAGGGAAATCAAAGTAATAAAAAATATAGTGTCAGGCCCTTCTTTGGCACTATGGATCTCCTCATTGTGATGACAAGCAGTAATTAAATGATTTTTGTGAAATCCAGTGGGTGATGAGCGCACATCCTGGCAGAGTACTTTTGAAAGGAAAAACCTAGATTTCATCATGATCTAGTAGGCAGGCAGGGGTGGCATGGTGGCAGTTTTTCCTTGAGGCTGTAATTAACTTGATCAGTGTTTCAGTGCTGTTACTAAGACAAACCATTCGTCCTGTTAATGAACATCAGTCTGCCTTACTTTGGGGAAACATAAAAGCTAATATTTTGCCAAACCACAGTTTGCAGTTGTCAACAAGATCAGAAAACAAACATTTGTTTGCTTGTAGCAGGTGCTCACCCTTATGGAAACAAGTCTATCCTTCAGCCGTGGTGGGAATTTGCCCTTCAAGCCTTTGTTTATATGTCATAGATTCATAGATGTAGTGTTGGAAGGGACCTTGTAGATCATCAAGTCTGACCCCATGCCCTGGCCAGGAGAGAAAACTGGAGATGTCAAGCCTCCTCTTAAAGACCCCCAGGGTAGGAGCCATTACCACTTCCCTTGGAAGTTGGATCCAGATTCTGGCCGCCTTGACTGAAGTAGTGCCTTTGGATGTCTAGTCTAAACCTAGTCTGTAACAATTTGTGGCCGTTATTCCTTGTTACTCTGGGGGGCACTGGGGGAAAACAGGGTCTCTCCCAAACTCTGCTGGTCCCCCCTAGTGAGTTTATAGACAGCCACCAGGTCCCCCCTCAGCCTTCTCTTGCGAAGGCTGAACAGGTTAAGGTCCCGTAGCCTCTCTTCGTAGGGTCTGCCCTGCTGTCCCTGGATCATGCGGGTGGCCCTCCTCTGGACTCTCTCAATGCTGTCCACATCCCTCCTGAAGTGCAGTGCCCAGAACTGAACACAGTACTCCAGCTGCGGCCTGACCAGTGTCGCATAGAGGGGGAGGATTACCTTCTTAGCCCTGCTTGATGCCTGTGGATGCACGACAAGGTACAGTTAGCCCTACTGACTGTGACCTTGCATTGTCGGCCCGTGTTCATCTTGGAGTCAATAATGACTCCAAGATCTCTTTCTGCCACCGTGCTTTTGGTATCATCAGCAAATTTAAACAGGCTGCTTTTTACCCTGTTGTCCAAGTCACTAATAAAAAAATTGAACAGTGTGGGCCCAAGGACCAAGCCCTGGGGGACTCCACTGCCCGCTACCCTCCAAGTCGAAAAAGACCCGTCCACCACTACCCTCTGAGTATGACCCTTCAGCCAATTTTCTATCCATCTGACTGTGTAGGCATTAGTGCCACAGTCACCTAGTTTTTTGATGAGAATGGGGTGGGAGGCAGTGTCAAAGGCCTTGCTGAAGTCCAGAAAGACTACATCCACCGCAACACCTGTGTCCGATGCTTTTGTGACCTGATCGTAGAAGGCAATCAGGTTGGTCTGACAGGACCTGCCCCTAATGAAACTGTGCTGGTTGCCCTTGAGCATCATCCCTGCTGCTGGCCCATCACAGATGTGCTCCTTGATGATCTTCTCAAAGAGTTTCCCCAGGATTGAAGTAAGACTAATGGGCCTATAGTTGCCTGGATCCTTCCTCTTCCCTTTTTTGAAGATGGGGACCACGCTGACTTTCTTCCAGTCATCTGGCACCTGGCCAGAGCGTCACGAGTGCTCGTAAAGCCGTGCCAGGGTCTCCACAGTAACCCCTGCCAATTCCCTCAACGTGTCAGCTTCTGATGTCCTGGATCCTGCAGTACCCAGGGCCAGATTAATGCAGAGGCAAACTAGGCACATGCCTAGGGGCCTAAGTGAAGCCCAGTTGTGCTTATTTTTCATATTATTGAGTGAAAAAGTAATACAAATATACAGTATTAAGTTAGGGGCTTATGAGTTTGTTTGCCCACTGAAAGGTTAATCTGGTCCTGGCAGTACCTGAAGACTTAAATCATGCTCACAAGAGTTCAAATGCGTATTGTACTCGTACTATGCAAGCTACAGTGTGCTTAGAATCTGGGGTCTGTACTAGATTTTTGTGGGCAGAGGGCTTTGCCTATTCACAGCAGTCACTTTATTTTCCCCATGTAGTTTCTTTTTACTACTTAACCAGCCACTCAAATTATCAGCATTCTTAAAAGATACAGGGATGGGGAATAATACTCCTTCCATCAAAGGACTAACACTCTGTGCCTTGTTTGTAATGAAACCAAGCTACTCTAGTAGCGGACCTCATGAGTGCTGTAAGGACTTTGTGATCTGTTTTGATAAGAAAATGTAGCAGGAAAGCTGTCTTGCAACACCTGAACCAGATAATGCGGTGATCAGCCTCTGCCTGGCATTTTTAGCAGATGGAAGCCTCTGTGCCATGGAACTGAAATGAATCCCTTGCGACTGTGGGGCCTTGCAAGTAATGATAATGCCCACACTTGGAATGGGTGTAGTCATTAGGTAGCACGTGAGGGGCCCATTTCCACCCTTCTCTTATGCAGTTCTGCACAGGTGAGATTTCATTGTTCCTTTCCATTTATTTGCAAGGAGCAGAGAACTTTACTGAGTATATTGAATCGCCATTAGCACATTGACCTTTAAAACAAGATCTGATGGCTTTCTAAATGAGAGCCTGTAGTTCAGTCAGAAGACATTGGACTCAAGGCAGGAATTACAGTGGAAATTTTAATGAGCTGTGCGAAGATGATCAGAAATGCTGCCTTTGGGCCTTAAGAATCTATCAGTTCTGGATCAGTAATTTTGGACCATCCATCTCCCTTGAATTTCCTGCCTTTCATTAAATTTTCAGAGAGCCAGTTCTGATTCAAAGCCCTTCTGTACCTGCGTGGCTGGTCTCTTGAAGTGTAGAATTCTACCTTTCCCGTCTCCAACATAAAGTGCATTAGAGGAGCTGCTACATTAATCACACACTTCTGTCACGGTCCTTAGAGTCTTAAAACTTCAGAGAGTCTTAAAAAGTTCTTCTTAACATTGTTATTTTCCTGAGTCTTTTGTGGTGCGCTGGATTTGTTGACTTCAGAAGTTGCCCCATCATGGTTTTTTTTGTCACTATAACCTGTTCTCTTGTGTAACAGGTGCCAGAGTTGGTCACCGTTCTTTGATGAGATACTACAAGCAGCGCTTTGGTTTGTCGAGAGCAGTGGCTGTTGCTAAAAATAAGAAGGCTGTGGGCAGGGTGTTGCAGCAGTACAGGGCTTTGGGCTGGACCAGCGGGACAGGTATGTGGAAGAATTAAATCGGCTTATTAAACCTTTGAACTAACTCTCATCAGTCAGTGCTTTTCAAGATGTTGTCTTGTGCTGTTGTTCTAGAAATGAAGGCATTTAATTCTTTCAGTAAATTCTTTGTGCTGGCAGATTCACTGCCTCACTTCCTAGCAAGGAGCAGTACCATTTCTGCCAGCAGGAAGACAGGCTGCTGGCAGTTAAAAATGGAGGAGAGAAGCCCAGTTCTGTTGCTGTGCTATTGCAAGGGTTTCACACTTTCTCCAGCCTCCTGGTACTGCTCCTGTGCAAGTCTTTTTATTTCTGGTACATGAACAGAATCCCTTATAGACATCTGTCATTCCATTCATGGTTTAATATCCCACTGTATATTTTTCAGAAAGGCAGCGCACACACAGACCAGTCATCCCCATGCTGTTTTTTCTGTTGCAAGAGATGTACCTAAGTCTTCATTTTATATCAGTGGTATAAAATGAAGTTTGCAGGGGTGAATCCAGCCTGAACTGCAGCCAGTGACCTAGCTTGAAACAAAAGTAAAGAACTTGGCTTGCTTGAAATGGAAGTTGTTACCATTCAATAATTGTACAAATGATACTCTGATTTGTCTGCTAATATCAACCCCTCTCTCAGCCCTTTCCCAGTTTCCCACTGTCATTTGTTCTCCTTGGACTTTGCCAGTATATTAATCTTCACTGCTGTTCTGCCCAGCATCTGATACCTTAGCCTCTGTAGTCCTGTTGTCTTTAATTGCAGATTAAATATTGGAGAAGGTCTCATGGAAGATTAGCCTAGAATTTAATTCTAGATGTGGCATTTAATCTTGCTTGGGTGCAATGGGTTACAGACATTGTATTGAGACTAACGGTCAGCTTTTCTTTGCCAGAGTTGGTTGGTTGGTTGTAATTAAGATTACTGATCCATTTATGATTGGCATTGTCAGAGCTAACAGCTTCTGTTCTTGCCCTTCAATACACTACTACAGAACCCTGCATGAACTAACCATCTAACAGTTATCAGCCTAGTCAGAGAACAATTATGAGATCTGTATTGACTTGCAGAGAATGGTTGCTGAATAATGTATATGCGAAGAATGACATGTTGCTATTGTTTAGTAGGATAGCTTAGGCCAACTGAAAGGAGCATTTAAGATCTCTGAATGGAAAGAGTTGAAAAATTCACATTATTCATGTAATTCAGCTCTGCTTTTTTTCAGTTAGGTGGTAGAAGCCACTGTGAAACCAAGTTCCTTCACAACAACAGGACCTTGATCCTATAAATGATCTTTGTAGGGGAAACCCCTACACTCATGGTCAGCTTTGTAGCAAGATGAGGGCCTGGGGGAAGGGAAATTAAACTGTCATTTACCTGACGAATGACTATCAATGAATATTACTCTGCTATGACCCCCTATAAGGACACTGATTCAAAGTACCATTTTTTCTGTTAAGTGACTTGGGAAGGCGTTGAGTTGAAATAAAAAACCCCCTTCTCTTATGCTGGAATGAGAGTGCCCATAGAGGGGATATGTACTGCTATAATTATCAGTTTACCTCTCTCAGCATGACTAGGCTTAGTCTGGAGTATAAAGCTGTGCTGGCAAAATTTGAGTTCTGGTGATAAACCTTTGACTACATCAACATTCTCAGCTCCTTTTGGTCAGCACTGCTACATCTCTGCTGAGTGAAATAAGTCTTCTTCTATAGGTGTTCACACACCTTCTGGCTGGAATGGTCCTTTCAGCAGCTGGTGGCTTTCTGCCACTAGAACATGGAGTGTGGTAGATGTACAAACCAGAGAAGTGTAAGGTGGGAGACCAGACGTGCCAGAAGTGTGGGGATAGGGCAGCTCTCTGCTGCCAGAGGCAGGGGAGTTATAGACTAGGCCTTGGATTGCTGTAACTGGTAAACTTTTCTTCAGTTGACTGGTCCTTAGACTTTAAGGCTAGGGACAGACATTCAAAAAGCCCAAGCCTGAATTGATTCAATCCTTGCAGGTTAGTCTAACCTGGTTAGGCTGAACCAGTTTGTAACCACACAAACATCACCTCTGGACTGAGGAAATGTAGGCATATGCCTGTAGTGGCTCAGGCTAGAAGCCAGGGGACACTAGAGCAGCCCTCCCTCCCTTTTGTAGTGCTGAACTGAGGGGGCGGGTGTGGCCTGGCCCCAACAGGACACTTTGATTAGGGAGGGGTCCCCTACCCTCCTTGCTGCTCCTCTGACCAGGTACAGAGCCCCTACTGTGGCGTTTACTTACACAGCAGGGAGCTGCATAGCATTTATCAGCCCATCAGCAAAACAAAAACCCCTCTCATTAGTTTAGGCTCTTCTTAAACAACTTTTTTACAAGGAAGGAATGGAGGGATATTACCAGCTACTTGTTGATTAGCTCCAAAAAGCCCTGAGCAGACACTGTCCTGTCTGCCTTACACAGATACCTCTCAGCATTAGTTAGCATACCACATACTACCAGAGCTCCAGCCAGGGAGCAGAGGGGTGGGGCCAGCCCTGCTGTGGAGCTGATAGCCTCACCCCAGGGCTGATAAGCATCTGGGATGCTGGGGCACTCTGGTTTAAGTTAAACCAGGACAGGATCTGGGACAAACATTGCATAAACCAGTTTGACCCAAATCAGTTAAGTCTGACACTACATTCAACCAGGTTTATCTCAAACCGGTGTCACCCATCTTCAGACTGGTTTATGTTTACTGAATGTCTGTTCTGTTACAGGTTTAAACCGGTTTCTGATCACTTAAACCAGTTTATGGGTAATGTCTGTCCCTAGCCCATGTCAGAGAACAGCCTTGAAATTGACTAATCTTTATTCATTTTTCCCTCCTTTAACCAAAAGGGGCAGCATTAGCACAAGAGCGTGACATGCAGTATCTGCAGAGGATGAAGGCTAAGTGGATGCTGAAGACAGGAATGAGTAACAACGCTACAAAGCAGATGCATTTTCGGGGGCAGGTCCGGTTCTGAACCCCAACTCCCCCCCATGCGCTGTATGGAGCTGCTGTTATGGGAGGAGATTTTGATAGTTTCTGGCATGAGGATTCAGTAATCCAAATGGACCTGGTTCCTGATCGATGGATTCTTCAGTGCTGGAGGTCCTCCTCTTCTCTGACGAGCTCTGGAGACTTTGTCTAGTCTAATGACCTGATGGTTGGCCTATCAAATTTTAAATTTAAAGTATCTTGAAGGATGTGGTAAGGGTAGCCACCTCTGATTTAATTACATTATGTGCATCCTTTTATTGTTCTTCTGCAGCAGATTCTTGTTAACAGATGGTTTTCTGGTACCTTAATTGTATGACAGAAAACTGGAAATTTCAGAGGTGGGAGGTGGCAGAGAGGGAGCTGAAGTCAAAGTTCTACACATACAAACGAGAGAACTGTAAGGCGGGAGACCAGTCCTTTAGCTCTTCCAAATTAGTATGGAAAGTGGTTTCCCTTTATATATTTGCAAAAGAGTATTTAGAGCTGCATTTATAGACGTTTTAAACGCGCACTGTATCAAGCAGTCGTGCAAAAGACACTTTAACCTGGTGCATTAAAAATCCTTCCTTGGGTGTGTATTCAGAAAAGCTTTTTGGAACACTGAATTTTCAGCATGTGGAGAGTGACAAGTAATCTGTTCAGTTGTATTCAGATTGTGGAGGGATTTTGGTTCCAGTTGTTTGAAGGAAGGACTGACTGAAATCCTAATTTCAGTGCTTTGGACAATGAATATTTTTTTACCCTGTAAAATTCAGCCTACTATCCCTTGTTTCCAGAGAACACTGGAAGGTGGGGCAGGGGAGGAGGTTGATTAAAAATGTTACAGTACTCCATTTAGGCTTTAATTTAAAAATATTATTTCACATGCACACTTACAATCTTGAATGCTTGAAATATTTATTTAAGCATGTGCCTTTCTGTCATTTTACCTCCTGCAGGCCTATAATGGATTGGTAAGGTTACACTAATGACCTTACTGATTAACTCCAATATTTAATCTTGTTCTCTACTTCTAAAAACCTGTCCCTGACCTGCTCTTGTACTGTTCTGTATCATCTTAATAAAAATGTATGCAAATGCCAGGTCACCATTTAGATGCACGTGGAGCTTTTCAAAAGGATTGGCTATAAAGAAGTGTCCAAACAAAATAAAGATTCTTCTCAACCAGCCAACTGAGAGTTAAAACTGTCTATGCATTTAGGAGAACAAGACACGGGTCATATCAATTCTTCTTTTACTGCTGCACAGTTAAAGGTCTGTCATGAGCAGTTTGAAGAATTCCATGTTCCTCTCACTGGTTAGTTTGTTAGTGTTCCAGGAAAGACAGTACATGTATTCATTAAGATTACAAGGATGGTGCAGAGAACAGCATGTATTTGGGTATGTGGAAGCGTATCTGCTCAGCATACATCACTGCTACCTGAATTAATACAGGGCATGGTTCAGATCCAGCTTCTGTTTCCTGAAATTAATCCAATAGCTTCTGCCGTAGAGTGTAGTTGGTTTAGATTGCTAGGTAAGGCTCTAACTCTTTCCTGAGATTGTGTCTATAACTAGGGGCGCCTATACATGTGTAGGGAGGCTGCTCCGACACATTGTAATTACAGCGTGTTGGAGCAGATTTGATTAATCGAGTCTGCTGAAGCGTGGTAATTACTGTGCTACAGCAGACTCCAGTGTCACGTGCATCAGCGTCCCTGTGCTGAAAATGGCGGCGGGGGTGCTTTAACTAAAGCTTGTTCAGTGCCTTCGGCGGGGACACTGATACATGTGATGATCCGGGCACTTTCATTAGAGCAGCCCTTGGAGCTACTCTAATTAAAGCTCTACCTCCCCACTCCTGGAGCATGTGTATAAACACCCCTCACACCCTGCCACATGTTCAAATTAAAGCTGGAGAGAAATGTGTTATAAAATTACTACACATTTCCAAACACTAATTTTGCAGATGGTTGGCTCTTTTTATAGCTGGATGGACATTTATGCTGTGATTATTACTCTGCACATGTGGCCAGTTCAAATTTAGTGTGCAATTAACCATGAATTGCATAATGTATGTGATGTGTGGTGGGTTTATAGGTTCTGCTTCACATGCACATGTATGGTATTGCCAGGAAACATGAACTTTGGCTCAGACAGTCTTGTATGAAACACTGGGTTCACAACCAGGACTGAACATCCCTAGTCTTTCTCTTGCAAATAAACTGATAATTTAAATAATTTCCTTCAGAATTAATCTGATTTTGGATGTGGTAACACCTTAATTCCTAAAAGCTCAATGGGTAGGACTTTCTGGAACTGCTCTTGCTTGTAGGTTATTCAGTTGTTAGACTCAGAGCTGCTCCTGCTGTCCTGTTCCCTCTCTTACTAAGGAGACCTTTAAAGAC